CGATATTCACGGTATACTCATGAAATGGTCGTAGGGGAAAATCCAAATTGCATCGCGGCCTGGGAGATGCTATGCTCCATCTCTCTTGAGCCGACTATAACACCACGTTCACACTCACTTAAATCGCGATACCCTGCCATTGTAGCAGCAGCAGTAATAGGTCTAACAATTGTGCCAGACTCTGGTTGTCTTATATAGTCGTTGCCGACCGGAGCGTCGTATTCTGATTGGTTCCAGATATCTTTATTTCAATATGCTTGGCTGTATCGGTTTTTTGGCTCTTCAGTGTATAAACGTAATTTTTATGATCATTAGTGGAAGATAAATATAATAGAAATTAAACATTCATAAAATTGCTTTTTTAAATACGAATCTTTATTATATTCACACTACCCGTCCTCTTCCTTAGGATCAGAGTAAAATCGAACTGTGATATATGAGAGTGTGATAAATGCTGAATCCAAAGTTTCCTGAGTAAATGTCCGTAATTAGTACTTTCTTCCGATAAGCGTTCCATTAGGATTTCATGTTGCTATCTTCCAGATTTTGCTGTTAAATGTATTCAAATCTGAGCAGGCGTTTGAATTATATGAGTCTTAGTACACTCCTCTTCGTAGACTGTTAATAAAAATTGTTTCTTGAGATCTCCTGAGTTGGTCCATGATCTGCCTGTCTCAGAAACAATTAAAATCATTTTACTACTTGTTGGGCTCCATGTGAGTAAGGAGCCACGAGCCAGAGCCAAATTTTCTTACGTGTAAAGATGATACCGCTCATGTTCCGCGCACTCCTGAACTTCACATTTTGATAATACACACGTGGACAAATTATTAGCAAAATGGTATTTAATAGAAAAATCTTTTCATTGTCTCAAAACTTCATAACTAAACTATTGGATTGAAGAGGCTACAAACTAATTGATACTTTATGTGAGCATCTTTAGCATTAATTGAATCGTTTATTTCAGAAACACGTCAAACGCAAAATTCTTCATTTCGAGAAAACTGAGAAAAACTCTTTGTATTTCATATTTCAAAATATTTTTATTTATTAACGAAGATGATATATGAATATTTTATTTGATCGATAGCCATCTTTAAATTTAGTGTGATCCGTGTAGGTACATTTATTTTAATATCTAAACTGAATAAATGAACTTGAGAAGCTGCTCTTTCTCGTAATAACTTTCTCTTCTTACGTAGAACATTTGAAAGGGCGAAGAAGTTAAAATACGTAGTCCAATTTTGGTGAATTCTCCATATTTGCAAAAATTGCAAAATATGCATGTTGGAAAAATGTTGGGTGAAATTGCATTTTTCAGTATCAATTCAAGTTCGTTCAGGGCATTTATGTAGTGTAGTGGTATAGGTGTCGTCGAATTAAATTGGAAACCTCAGTTCGAGTTTCGGTGCGGAATATAATTTTGCTGCTTGAAAACACTTTTGCATGTTTTGTGGTAGCCTAATAAAACGAAACAGTTTGAAAAAGCGAGAAAATACATGTTGTTCTTGCCTCACTAGGTTACTAGATAGCACTTATTGGATTTTTTTTCTTAGATATTTTAAAAGGTTTTCACGTCATTCATCATAATATTTTACTTTCAAAATTACCTTCCCATAGAAATCGCGATATCGCTCTGGATTGGTTATGTTCGTACCTTAAACAACAATCTCAAAGAGTAGAAATACTGGAATAATGGAACACTGTGTACACATCTTTCCTATTCTCTACCAATTGCATGCGGAGTCCCGCAGGGGTCGATTTTAGGCCCTATTCTTTTCCTACTACACATAAATGATGCTCTCGACGATTAGAAACGGAAGAACAGTTCTCTTCGCGAATTATACGGAAATCCTTTGCGATAAAGAAACCGTGAATTGTACAATATCAGATATTTCAAATCGCTTCGTTTATAACAAATTAATAGTAAATGAAAAGAAAACGGTCTCAATACAGTTTTCCATTTCAAATAAACAGTTCTGTACTCCATAGAAAATGATCAGTGTGCCATTGACTGATGTTAAGGTAACAAAGTTTTTAGGTCTTTCAATTCAGTCAAACCTTAAATGGAACGCCCATTTAAATGAATTGAACACTTAATTAAGTTCTTTATGCTACACTTTCAGAATTCTTTCAAATTCAGTCAACCTCCATACTGCTCGTTGTGTATATTTCGCGAATGTTCATTCCCACCTGAGATATGGTATAATATTCTGGGGAAATACATCTTATAGCTTCCAGATTTTTTGATTACAAAAAAAAATTGTTCGAATAATAAGCAAATCACACCCGCATGATTCTTGTAAGTCTCTCGTTATTAATCTAGGTATTTTACCATTACCATTGTCTTTTGATATATAGATCAATGTGGTTGTTTTTTTCAAAATGACTTACTTCAGGGCGGGAATATATTTTCAGCAAACGCAGATGTCTGTAACTACAACACAACCTACTAATCATATTCGTTTGGTGACAGTATCAACAGCTCAGTACAAAAAATTCAACTACAATACATGTACATTATTTTACAACACCTTTCCAGATGACATTGAACGATTAAATTCGATACAAATGCTTTAAGTCCCAAGTAAAATCTTTTCTGCAGCACAACTGTTTCTATATAATTAGAGACCATACCGAGCATCCAAAAGGAAAGTAATATTAATTTTAACAATAACATATAATGTATTATTTACCATTTGGATTGTATAATTCTAAAGAATCTAACAAGTATTGCATTTCAGCTTCTGGATCAATGACCCCCATTTCGATCAGGTCCAGTTTCCCCGATTCTCGAGCACATGCTGAGATGGCCCCTTGTTTTGCTTCTGGACATAAATTAACTTCTCCCTGTAGCACGTCACTCAGTTTTTAACTGTTTTGACGTAAACAAATAAAATAAATTACTTTCGCGCCTTTACGAAGGTGTTTCGCAAGTGAAAGTCATGTGATCGTGCACCGAAAGACGGTGAATTTTTGTCAGAAAAACTTTTATTGCCGAGCCCTAGTAACGAAAAAGTGGATAAATCCAGTTGCCAAATAGAAAAAAATTCGTAGTGTAGCCAGAATCCGTTTTGTAGAGTGAAACCGAAAAATCGATTGACGGCAAAACATTGCCTCTGATTGTGGTCAACCGATTTCCGACCGTACCGTTCAGCCGATTTTCTTCAAAATTGATACTCCCCGTTCCTTCTGAATGAACTCGTGGTTTTGGGAGTTTCAAACGGATATTTGAATTGGTTGGTTGTAAGTGATTCCGGGCGCGTCAGCTACCGAGGTCATTAGTCTCGTAAGAATAGTGCATATTTGTTCTCGAGAAGAGGTGCTGGTGATCTCGCCCACTGGATGGCGAAAAACCTACCGTCGGCTAGCGGGCTTTCCCCTCAACCAGGTATATCCTACCAGTGGGCCACTGCCCCAGCCGAGACAAGCTCTAAGCTGTCGACCGCTCCTCCGGCATGTGTGATACTGTAGTGCATGTTAGTGTATGTATGAAAGAGATGAGGATAAGATAAGAAAGAGGAAGGAAAAATTGCGCGCGGTCCGTGGCCCGTTTGCGATTGAATTCGACCTAGCTGAAAAACTAGTGTCAGAAATCTTGCCACTGTCGGGACTCGAACCTAGGACCTCTCAGTCATAGGCAATGCAGTTACATCAGTTGAAGCACTGAGCCTCCTCTCCCGATGAATATTTTGATTTTTGAGGGTATGTTACATGAATCCTCAAAATTTTCTCAAAAATGGAACCAAATTTGATGGTCAATCTTTTTCCTCGGGTAGCGTGGAGAACTCTTAAGAGAATGGTGTAGGTCTCGTGTTCGTTAAAACTGCAGATTTTTTGAAAATTGCACAAGTGCAATTTTTTGGGGGCCTCTTCCTACAATTATTGAAGATTGAGAAAATTTTCCTTAATAAAATTTCTCCCGTAAAGACAGATCTTTAAATAAGGTCGTGTTCAATTATTCGAAAATATTAGTAGTTTTCGTTTATTTCGGTACAAAATAAGGCAATTTAAAAAAGAATTAACATTTTTTTTTAAATCCGCCCCAATTTTTGTTCTCTTTTTCGTTCCATGGATAGAAAGGGTTACTTAAAAGATTGACGCGGATCTCATTTTTGTGGATCTCTGTGAATTTTCGAAAATTGCAAATTTAGAAACAATGCAAGAAAGTATGTGATGTAGCAGCAATAGTTTTAACATAAAATATATTTTAGATTTTTTAAATTATTTTTGACATGGGCGCCAATAGCCATAGCAAATGGAGTGCCCTCCAAACGTCAATCGATCGAAAAATGTTTCATTGAATATTCGAAAAAAGTCTTAAAATTATATTTTGTTTGGTTTAATTTTTCAGTAAAATTGGAAGAATTTTTTAGGAGGGGAGAATTTTGTGCTTGGAAGCCCCGCAGTAACTAAATCCGGCCTTGCTTTAGTTGGATTTTCTTTTGCCGAAATTCGGCAAAGTGAATCTGCAGTCGATTCACTGTCCGTATCTAATACATGATTCGTAAACGCCCAGCGTTCTCACATAAAAGAGCAACATTTCGGAAACAATATATAATCAAGTAAAACGTGTTAGAGAATGATTTTGAAAATAAACCTCAAATTGAGATAACAATTTTCAAAACAAATGGCCTTAATGGTTTAAATTTAAAATGTGTATATGTAGCGTTTACAAGAATCACAGCGTACACTTCATGAATTTTCATTTGAAATTGTTTGATTCTGAATGTCAAATTTCTTCAAAGAAAATATTGGTTTAAAAAGGTAGTGTTTCATATCTCTCAATTCTATATACAGTAATCTATGTCAAGACCAAGTTAGATCCATTGCTTTCCGTTGTAAACACGTGTAATAATACAAATTTTCAGTTCTTTTTTTTTAACTAACACGTTATTTACAGCACTCACATCCGGAAATACACCAGCAATTATATCCAGCGGATGTCCTTTTGTATCGTTTTCCCACGTCTAACGTTCTTCGAGATTCGAGCACCGCTTAATACTCGATGGTGAACATCGCTGCGCTCTTCTTCTGTCTTCCTTGGAGCAACAATAAGTGGAACAGTTGAATGCAGGACATCCCTGACTATTGGTTTCAGTGACCATGGCGGATGCCCAGAACGAAATACCTAGCATAGATATTCAAAGAAGAGAAACTGAACGCCTATTAGCAAAGCCGCTAGTTAGTAATGAAACATGGTAATGCATCAAAAACCTTCTATACAACGTGTTCACGTCGTATTATGCGACCCGTATGTGGCATGTGTATGTCGGCTTTTCGCAATCCTTAGGTTATGTTAGTTTTGAAAATGCTGATAGTGTGGTTTCTGGGTTGTTACTAGTAATTTAGCTTTCTATGTGGTTATAGCGTATGTATTCTGCTTGCTGCATTGTGTGCTCATTCAAGAAACAGGGGGAGTGTGTGAAAACGTGTTCTGCAATGTGTACGTTCTAAAATTTTACGAAGTTGCGAGGGCATGAAAGTTTCTGCCACAAATTTTTCATCACTCTCACATCATCTTTACTAATTACCTGGTCATTGTTCTCTCAAATGTAATTGATTTATTGCGTGCTTGTAGTTATCTACATGCCATGAATTCTAGAAATTAAAATATTCACTAGGGTACTTCATCCTATTCCTTCTTTACTACTCTGAAAATTGGCTAGTTTTGATTTTCTTATGGTTATCATGTAAAAACATATTCAATAATCGTTTAGTTTCCTAGTATGATAGTGTAAACACCAAAGTTACATATGTGTGAATTCCATCGAATTAATGCAGGCACTTTTTTTCGTTTTTTTAAATTCATGTTTATAGGCCTACACTTTCAGCTGTTTTTATTTCTATCCATGTTGTGTTGCTTGTTTTTTTCCTCCTGCCGAAGTTAATTTTGCAATATTTCTTCATTTCAAATGATAAAAATGTCAGGTATTTTTCAGAATATGTCCTTAAAAAGTAACATTGCCCTTAAAATTTAACAAATTTTTCTACTCTTGTTTAATTTGTTCCATATTTGTGTTCTCTGCATTGTAACTCTCCTTTCTTGAAAAAATATTTATCAAATGTGATGTATCTAGGTGTGTCATTTTTCTTTAAAACTATTTTATTAGGAAAATGTATAAATATGTGCAGGTTGATTTCTGTAAAATTAACATGAAATCTCTGATCTATTTTATTTCAGTATTTGCCCCCTCATATAATGTTCTCATGGCATGTTGGGGCAAGTAACTCTTATTGCATTGAACTTACTAAGTCTTTAATAATGCTCTTCGTTGCCCCCACAATTGCAAAGACTCATTCTGAAAGTGATTTTGTTTTCTAGGTTTGTTTGTCATCATTAGTTAGGTTGTGTCCATTTTCATTATTGACTTCATGCAAGTAAAATTTAATCTCTTCAGTTTGCAGTTTCAACTGATTTTATTTTATAATTTGATCATCAGTAAGTTCTTGAAAAATGAAATTCATCAGCCTACCTCTGTTGTTGTTATTATTATTATTATTATTATTATCATCATTATTATCATTATTATATTTTGAAAAAGGAGGATTTTCTTATTAATTTAAGTTTATAGTGTCTTACATAATTTGTAAATATTGAAGCAATGGTTGAAACTGCATGGCTTCATTAACATAAATTAGTATATGAACATGTGTTGCATTGATCTGGCAACAGGTTGGAAGTAAAGGAATTTGTAGTGTGTGGGGAACACAGAAGTGTGAGGAAATTGTGCATTAGAGCATTAGCTTTACTTTGTCTGGATAAATGTGTTATGATCATATTTTAAGTTCTTTGAATTGGGTGTATTTGGAAAAGTTGTATGAGAGCTAAAATGAATCTGTGACGTTGTTTCCTAATTTCTCCTTCTTCTTACGGAGAATGTATTTGTTGACTATTTTCCAAGTTTCTTCATTGTCCCACATATCCATGGTTCCAGGTACTGAATACCTTGATGAAACCTCATATTTAATAGGAATGACCTTTCAAACTTGTTTGTAACTGCTTTGCAGAGTCATACACAACAAAGAAGGTTTAGGAAAATGTTGGAGAATTTCATTCTATGCTTTCACTGACCATCTTGCATTACATAACATGATAGATTAAACTGACTTTTTGTGATCATCAATTGTAGAAAGACTTACTGTAATTTTATCTTTTGTAAATTATTTCTTTTTACTTACACAACAGGAGTTAGAATTCTTTTTTTCTCTAATAGATTTATTAAATGTTTGTAATAATTAGATTAACTCATTTTCACATGTATCTGTGTTTAAATCATAAAGCATTCAATGAAGTTATTTTCTCAATTCTTATACCAAACTGTAGGTTAACAATCAATTAGATTGCTAATTATATTTGTTCACAAACTTCAAATTTAACTACTTTTCGTGATAACTATTTTTGAAAATGTGTTTTCAAAGTTAAATGTGGTTTGTAAAATAAATACTCTTACACAATTCAAAGTGGGTATTTTGGTTTTGATTGAGTAAATACATTTTTTTATAAATGAACAGTGCAGTCTTAGGAACATTAAAAGTATGTGTTTTCACTGTTTACAAAAATGTGCAGAATGTTTCAGCTCAATGCAAGCATATGTAATTGCATGCAATGACATTCATGAAGTAAATAAAATTGTATTTTAGGTACCTGGTTCATAGTGATTGGTTCAAAAGTTTCAAAAGTTATATACGCTTAGATAAAAATTGGGATGATGGTCATGAACATGAACATCCTGGCCCTATTGATAATAGTTCACTCTACAAAGGTAAGCTATTATTGATGTTTGTTTGTGAATTTGTATTTTTTTGCATATTTTATAATTTAATTTATATATTAGATGGAGATGCAACAGACATAAGAGACCATCTAGTTGAAGAAGTAGACTACGTTTTTGTGCCAGAAGAGCTGTGGCACCTCCTTGTTAAATGGTATGGCATGGTAACTGATCAACTTCCAATACCAAAGAAGGTTTGTTAAAAATCCATTATTTAAGTAACCTTTTCGTTTGATTAAAAACCATAATCTTCAGTTCTATGTACTTTCTTTTTATTTTATTTTTGTTGGGTGTCTGACTACTGAGAATTGAAAGAAATTTTCCCTGGTAGTAAAAAATTTTGGACTCATTTAATGTATGTATTTAGACAATCCAATAACATACACACACTCAGTGCCTTGTGAAGCAGTAAGAAACTGTTTGTGATGGAGAACATTATAAGTTGAGGTGAACTATATTCCCTGCAGAATGATTCGTCAAATATAAACTCTAATGGACGATTGATGGAGTGGAGTAATTGTGTCTAAGACAAATTAATAATAGGTGCATTTCATGGATTTCAGTCACCGTTTGTGTCATGCTTCATTTGTTTTAGTATAATGCACAGATAATTGGAGATTAATTTGATATGGAATTAAAATTTGGCTCAATGAGAAAATTAATTCTTCAGTTTATAATTTATAAAAGGGATGCAATTATGCCGGTCCACTGGGATCAGCAAATTCTGTATAATCTGGCATGAACTTGGACAAGTGCCTTTCAAGACGAGTTGAATCTGTGAGTGAACTTCAAGAATTGTTGTGCATTCAACAACACAATTGGGTTCTTCCTACACTGGACTCAAGGAGAACTTGTGAGTTAATGCAGAGATTATTATGTGTGTGTGGAATTTGACTCTGCCGTTGTACTGAGGTGCAAGGGGGCAAGTGAATTATTTATTTCTCCAAGTTCAGTATTTAAACCTTCAGGCTCTTCACAGAAATTCTAGAAATTAGCGTAAACATTTTATAAATAACCTTTTTTATGCAGCTACTAATGTTTTTAAGTGAGAAATATAATGCCATATTAATAATTTATAAATGGTATTATGTATAAAATAATGATACTAATATTCCATCATGTTGTATTTCTCTTATAATTAATGTTGGGCTTTCTACATTTCTTTATTTTAATTATAAGACTGACATGATGGCACTAGCTTGGGGAAATGACGCTCATTTAAAACATGCCTGACTTATGTTATTACATGAAATTTAGTGTAGCCTTGAGAGAGATGGTAATATGTAATGAGGAGTGTGATATTTTTGGCCTAGATAAAGGTTACAGCAGAAAGGACTTTGAACGTGTAAAGTGTGTTTTTTACAGAAATTAAGTATGCGAAGTTTTGAAATCAATGTTTGGAACTGTTTTCTGTAAAAAAAAAAAAATATAAAACCCGATTTTGTATAGTGATATTTTTATGCTTTTAGTAACTTCATTAATTATTTTAGATCTTTGAGTTTATATGTTCCTTTCGGATGTTGATGAGGTTTAACTATTGTTTATGTTTTGAGTTTGGGGCTGTATTTGGTGTTTTTGTTATAATGCTAGTCCATGCATAAGTTTTTGTGCAACGTAGTATTAGTGATGATCAGAGGGTTTGTTTAAAAAACTTCATATTTCATAGGAAATGAAAGTTGTGTATATTTATTAATTCATCAAAACCCTTAGAAGTTGGAGATCAGTTCATCAGAAAAATTTCACTTTGATATTCCAGAATATATACATAATTAATGTAGAGAACTTTCTAAACTTCCGGGGGTTCAGGGTGTATTCATGTGTACATTTGTGTGTGTGTGAATGTATGTATATCCCCTTACATTCATATTTGCATTGTATCTTCATATATTTTGCAATACTACTGTTTGAGAGTTGTTCCTCATGATTTTCAGTTGTGAGCACACATTTTGAATTAATGACATTAGATATTACATTAACATAAATTGAATTTATAATTCGATATTATTTATAATAATTCTGCCCTCTTTATATTTTGTTTTTAGTTTACGTGTTTGTCATGTTGTGTCATGGAGCATTTCAGTTACACTCCATTTGCTGTTATTTTGTGTGTAACTGTTTTTCTTTACCATTGAAGGAATCCTTATAAGGAATTGCATTAAGAAGCTTTCTTGAACTTCTGCTATTACTAAGCTCAGGAACAATTGTTTCCTGCCTGGCTCACGTGCTTGCACGCCGTGCGTATGGTATTAATGGGCCAATGACCTCTGTTGGTCTTGCGTATCGTATCGTAGCGTAGCGTAACGTCATTCTCTCTGGTAATAGTTTGTTGTTGTTTTTTTCTTTTTCTAGTAATGACGGCTCTCACACTCATTCTGTTCTTGCCGGAAATCAGAATTTCCACATCTATCTGCTTTTCACGTTGGGAAGGCACAAGGTGAAGGTGTCTTACGGAGAATCCGTGCGTTGTTGCCGACCCGACACGTTTACTTACCCACTCGCTCCAGAATCTTCTAAATCGCGGCTACATTTCTCAGTATATCTACTAAAAGAATGGTTTATTCCCTCACATTATTATTATTATTATTATTATTATTATTATTATTATTATTATTATTATTATTATTCTAGATGTAATATTTTTATTATCGTAATCTCATACGCAGGGATCCCTTCATGTTTTCTCTTATAAAATAAAAAAATGTCGATTGTGCCGTCAAATATTGATTAAATAATTTACGCAGTAAACGAAACTGACCAACAATTATCCAACTTTCATCTTGCTACATTATGGTCCGTTTCTCATTGATATGAATATCCGTACAGTATTATTATATCACTATATTTTTTTCTCGCTTTTCAAATTCAAATCCCATTTATATCAATAAGCGATAAAATGTAGAATATTTGAAATTTGGTAAATGTTTATCATTAACATCTTTCATTACACACACGATTGTTGCAGGAACATTTTGAAATAAAAAAGCATGGAAATTGAGACGTACAAAATCGTCGTACTTCATTTCCCTACTATATCCTATCCCTACTACACTTCGGTCCAGTTAACTTTATTTTTCTCGCGGTCGGTATTTCATTTTCCTTTCGCATTATAAAGAAGGAATATGTACTAATGTTTGCTGCTCTGCAAAATTCATTCAGAAGTTTGACTCCATTTTGGGATGTTTTACTTTTAAATTCTCGAATACTTAAAAAAATAGCATTGTTACTTATTTCATTCTTTTTCCCGCGATCCAATTTGATCTCCTAAAATTGGTACACTACACGATTGACAAATTACGTGCCTACTCTTCTCTATTACTGCACATCCTCCATCTTCATTCACCTCTACCAGCCTAAATCGACTGACCAGAATATCCAGCAAGATGAAATTATCGAAAGGGCTTCTGATGATCATTCGAGTTTTCATTTGGATGGTCCCTTCCGCCGATGACATATAAATCAAACACTTCCTTTCACCCCTACGGGTGCATCTGTCTTGTTTTTTCGTCGCGCTTCCCTTGGAGCCTCGCGTCATCGTCTCTCGTGCGCTCTTCTTCACCAAATACACGAAAGTAATGCATCCGACGACCTTCGGATGATGATAGAAAATAATTTCATTATTTTACCCAAAAGTCCCAACACAAAACTTTGTCGTGGAATGTTTTTAATTGGGCTTGAAGAACGAAAATATCCCATCAACGATATATTCTAATGCACAAATTAAAAATTCTCACATTTTCGTGATAATTTATTATTTTAAAGGATACATTGAGATACATTTTGACACATTGATAAAATGAAAGCATTTCCCCCAGGTGAAGTAACTGAAATATTGTATCTATTTTTTCCAAAATAATTGCACCAATTTTTCGGATATGTTTTAACTCTGTGAATAAAATGATGTTTAAAAAGTCAGTTCCACAGAAATCCATTATTTTCATTATTTTATTTGAAAATCCAATGAACGACACTTTTTCATAATTAATATTGTGTTCATTATTTTCTCCATAGGACTACATTTTTTGTACTTTTGCAACAATCAATTTGGCAACTGTGCACAAGATTCTTCCTTACGAACATTCTCCACAAGGGCCCATTGTGCCTTAATGGCGTGAAAATGAGTAGTTTGTTTTCTTTCATCAGGCCATCGACAGAACATGCTTAACACAAAATATGGGTCCCAGCACACATATTCATGCATGCATGCATATATGGATTTCGTGTTACTAAGAGTTGACTCAATAATTTTGTTAAATTTGTTCATGAACAATAAAATCTGTTTCATGACTTCACTAATGAATGCATATTATAGCTTAACAATTTTCAGTGATATTAAAAGTTTTTTTTTTCTTTTTTCTAGGAGCCTTATGAATTTTTACTTTCTCAACTTCTACATGCTAATGTAGCAATGATAAAGTAATGTTATGCTGCAGCAGAGGGCCCCTATGCACACACACTTCATTCAGTGATAAATTGAAGCAGGGACACATGAAGAAACAAAGTTTTCACATAATTACACGGTTATTATCACTCCACTCTTCCGTTCTTAATAATTATTATTAGTCTGTACTTATTGAGAGAAGAATTTTCTGTTCTTTCAGGAGGCAAATCATAAATTAATAATAAATTTTTGCCGAAATGTCATATTGAATTACTCATTAAAAATTTCAGTTTTTAAAATGTGTTTCTGTTATGCTATTTCATAACTCATGTTTTGTGACCTTTAACTTCAAAATTAAACATTCTCCAGATGCATTAGTCCCAAATAAAGTAAGAAAAATTCTCATAGCAATTTCCAAATAGGTTGCTAAAATATACTCATTATTCATGTAACTGTACAAGTTATGAATATTAATTTTTTTTCATTATCTGCAGCATATTCTTGGAAATATTTTATATTTCCTTACATTTTAGATATCCAGCAAAATGGTGACATTCATGCATTATATCTGCAGTAATCAAGTCTCCACTATAAAAAATTGCAAGGTTATTGCAATATTTTGAAATTCTTGAACTCGATCTTATGCACATTTTCCAAAATCTCGAACCTCTCAACATTTTTACATGCGCTTTACTTTGGAGTTGTAGGCTGGAAACCAGGGTGTCCATTTTGAGTAGGAACGTTTCAACTCTCAACTTTTCTCTTCTTAGAAGTTCATCATTAATACATCCACCATCTGCAAATGCAAGAAATGAGAAACATTTTGTTTGATGCCGTCGCGTATTATGATATTCTTTCACAATTTTATTTTGTTTTTGATTTGGACTCATAATAATCAGAATAATCTCCCAATTCTCTAAGGCAATTAAGGACTTCAGCAACTTCACTGCTACAGACAAATTTGCTTCCATTCTTTTCTTTTGCGGTAGTTAACTTCCTGCATTAAATCTATTGAGGATTTCATTCCAATTTATTGTTAGAAAATCCAGTTCAAGCATATCAAGTTTTTCCTCTAATCCTTGAGCCATAAGTCGTGTCTCTAACCCTTGATTTGTCGTATAATTTCTTATTGGCTTTAAATCTTCATTTAATTTCATTGCATTCCTTACATAAAAAATTTGTGTCACTTGTGGAGACCATCTAGTGTCTGAATGTTATTTCACCATAGTGTTTTCTCAATTCATCACACAGCTTACTAAAAAAGTAAGTTGATCAATATGAGTTTCAACCTATGTGATAAATAAAGATATAGCATACTTTTATTTACTTTTGAATTTCGAAGACAATGATTGAAAGAACTTAGTCCTCATTACTTCTACAAACCCTTCGCAAGTGATGGCTGACAAGTTTTACAGAATCGTGCATTGCCATTTTTTTTAATGCTTTTGTGCGAGAATGAAATTCAAACTGACCTCGTCAGAGTTCCATACTAAGAATTTAATTATCACAATAAAACTTCTCAACTCTTTTGTCCAGTATTGTCCTCATTGAATTGGACCAACTGTGTATCTATTCACCTGAAAGTTTTTGAGCAACCATAAGCTTCCATGGAGTTTCTATGTCCTTGACTATTTTCATGTTATGATGCAACTTTCAGAGCACTTTTTCCACCATTAAATCAGTCTCTGCTAAATGAAAATTTGGAGTGAGAAAATAATTTACACACAAAATAAAATTTTACGTCCTCATTATCACCTGAATAAATAAGATTGTCTTATGATACTTCTCATGAGAACATGAGTAAGGCTTACATTTTCCAAATTATCCCGTTTTATAGACAATTATCCCATTTTATAACATTTATGTTTATAAAAGTTAGTTTCTTTACTCTGACAAGCAGAAGGTCTCTTTTCCACCCAATAACCACGGAAGATGTCATCAGCATGTGACGAAACACCAGACTCAGATGTTGAAAAGTGACTTGTTTGAAATAATGGTACTTACATCGTTTCCTGAAGCACAGTCTGACACCAGATCGTGAATATCTTCGTTGTACGTCCCAAATCTATATATTGTAAACAACGGTTTGTTCTTCCTCCTGTATTTGTAAATATTTTTCTGTGAACTCGAAGTTGAGGAGACAGGAACGTGATATACCAGTACTTGACAATATTGTTTTCGTTCTTTGACTTTCTGAAGAAGAACTTCCACTTTCAAAACGTCTAATTATATATGGTAATAATTGATACGTTACCTTTGAAGAGAAATTAGAAAACTAGAGCTCATATAATATCTCATTGACGCGATCACTTAAAAAGACAAATACTGTCGGATACCGTGTAGTATAAACATTTCATTAGTCAAAAGCATTGTTGTCGTCGGCCCCCCCCCCCACTTCCTTGTTTCTCGATCTGTGTGTACAAAAGAACAGCTACTGAAATTCTCCAACTAATAGATTGAAGGTTGAATCTATTGCCGTTACTTGTTTTTTTGCATACGTACCGATCGAGTGTCACGAGAGTGAGGAACAATAACAATTCAATTAAAGGTGTACGACTAGGGTCCACATGTGTGAGATTTTTATTTAACGCCAAAAACCGTTTTAAAAAAATGTGACGTACTACGGGAAGAAATGAATTCTGTACACGTTTTCTTAAATTCTCCGAAATAATATAAAATTTTAATTTAATGAAGAATACAGGTGGAAACGAGCGTTTTTGGCAAGAATTGATAAGGAATTATTTGCTTTCGTGCAATGGCATAAACAGGTATGATGGGCTACTTCTGAACTTAAAATTTTCGTGTATATTATAAATAATTTAGAACAAGTTTCATCTATCGTGCAAAGATGACGAAAAATGATGCTTCCACTCACGTTGTTTTTCTTAAATATCCACAGACAAATTCAAGTGCGGTGTAGGTTTGTTCATTTTTACGACTTTGTTTCTCGCTACACGAACGACGATTAAAAGGCATCTCTAATAAACACTGTATAGTTGTGTTATTGTTTTATCTGTTACTAACATATTCTTATAATTCCAATTTAACGTCTGAAACACAAAATTTCTACACCGCCACTAAGTCTCGTCTTGTACGGAAAACTTGCACACTGCCTCAATTGCTGGGTGCCGTGCTGTTCCGAACGTGTCAAGAAACCGATCGTAAAATCGGCAACCACAGTTCTTGGGTGGTCCGTATCTTACCTGTGGGAAGTGAGTCATGCAATTAACGCTGGCTGTGATGACGAAGTAGCCACTGTCTTCCAGCGGTTTCTTCGGCGTTGACGCCTTGTAGAGGTCCGATGCGCCGTGGAGCGAGCGATTAATAGAGACATTGCAGCAGACCATTCCTATACATAATTTATCTTCAAATATTTTAATTGCCGTAATTTTCTCTAGAAACCGCCGGTAGCCCGCAGTATATTCCACTCCTTCCATGTAATAAACTATATATTCGCATAGGCAAGTCAGCTACAGATTTTGGCGATTATTCCTCATCGTGTCCTTCGTTATGAAATAGACTTAATCCCGCGAGAACGTGGAGAATGATAATTTGAATAGTAACTGCATTCCCCACTGAACTCTAGAAAATGCACAGAGAGCGAAGTTGCATTTACGAAGAGTCATAGTTTAATGTTTTCGGCAAGCTTTTGATGTATTATTTCAGAGTGAGCAGCAGGTTAACGCAGGGGTGCATGGCCCTAAGGGCCATTTAACCTTGGGTATGGTTGCGAGATATATTTTCATTACTTGGTGATCCACACCAGCAGCGCCGTGGCGCTGGTTCGAGAGGTGCATTGAGCCTGGGCGCCAACAATTAGAATACTCATTTAAATCATTGAATGAAACAAAACAAAAAGTGTGATACATATCAAAGAGCAATACATTATTAACCAGGTGAGTTTGTAAAATATGTAGAAGTATAACAATAGATATAAAAAATTTCACTTTTTCCCTATCACAAGAAATAAACAAGTTTATAGGACGGTATTGTTTTGATGATTGACAGTTGTTTAAAACTCAAGGAGCAGAGTATTGCAAACGAACAAGCGAAAATTTGAAGAAGCTAGAGAAGGAAGAGGTGAAGTATTAAATAAAACACCAGAACATTTTTTCCTTCAGAAATCTAACAAAGAAGTTTGCTTCACAGCAGAAAGCTATTGGTGTCACAAAATGGCACAGACTTTCTCATTTTACTTTTCTATTTTCTTTGGTCCAGGCTAGCTATTCGGACTTACCATATACTCTTGCCAGCTGCCCTCTATCGCCTTCTAAAGTCAATTTTTTTATTTATATATTTTATTTTTTAATTCTCAATTTTTCTGTTTCCTAATAGTAGAACCGAAATATTTTAAGAATACCCAAGAATAGTAAAACCTCGCCCTAAAAAATTTCATGAAAAATTTGGAGCCGATTTTAAGAAAATGGCATTTATGCGTTACTGTCAGTGCGAAATTTGAAGCTCTTTTTCACAGAAAAATTTTGTTTTGTAAATGATGTTCGAGCGTTTCTGAAAATGCGGGTTTTAAGCTTGTTTTTGCAGAAAAAGATTGAGTTTACATGAAAACTTTATAAGACATCATTTAAAGCACTCATGAATACAGTAATGTGAATAAATCGCTGCTAATGTAAGTATTAACGACGTGAGAGACTAGTCAAAAAAATAGCGTGTATGTAATTTTTGAAAAACGAAAGAGTAAAGCATTATGGTGTTTGTCATCTCTTAAGAGTACGTTGACCACTACCGTGCTAAAGGTTTAAAGAAGAAAATTGGAGGGTTGTTTGTTTGTTTTTTGAGAAAAGTTGTTTCTGTAATTTTTTTAAAATTGCACATATTGCACGAAAATTAGTACATTTTTTTGACAATTTAACACGACACTAATGAAAGCACTAAATATGGAGAAAAAATTTATCCATATTTAGTTCTTTCACTAGTCTCCCTCCCCCCCCTCTCCCCCCGCCACCACAAAAAAGAAATGGAGTCATTTAAAAAAAAAAATTGAAAGTCTCAAATTTTAAAGAATGTTTTTCAAAATCTTTCCAAAGAAACTGATACAGATAGTAAAGATGATATGAAAGCAATGAAACTTTCAGATGAACTATATATAATCACGAAATTTCTCAAAGCAAAAATCTCATCTATTGTATTAGAATTTATATGCTAAAATAAGCTAACCCAGTGATTTCCTAATATTACCGTGTCACTACAAATTGTATTAACTTTGCCGGTTGCAGTAGCTTCCAGAAAAAGGTCATTTTCTAAATTATTAAAAACTTCATGTGTATGTATATATATTATTTAACAAAAAACTATGATGGTCTCCACCAAAATCATCAGTTGGATCCACCCCTAATCTCTAAGCAGCTCTAAAATATTGAATATATTTTGTTGAAAGTTTATTTATATATATTTATAAATAATAAATATTTGTTATTATGTTGTATATTATTTTTGTATTGTTTATATGATGCTACACAATGTTATTTTTTAATTAATTACATAATTCTAACAAAAATAAGTATTTAATAAAGTTCACTAAATAAAAGAAGGTAACAAAAGAAAACTCTAGACCTTATAGGGGCATGCTCCCCACTCGCCCCTGGATCTGCCACGGGTTCTCATTTGTAGTAATTTACTTCCTCTAACATGTTATGTAGTCAGAATCTACTCTACACAACCCACAAAATATGGATTCTGGTCACACAAGGCCTTACAAGAAGTAATTTTCTACATATAAAAACAAAATGTTTTTGCTTTTCAATATCAGTACCTCAGAATATGAGTTTTTCGGACGAACAATCTCTACTTTCTGCAGCAGCATTGCATTATCATTACTTCATAAGTGCGTAATAGGAGCGTTAGTAATAAGAAAAAAAACAACCTAATGCCTAATGAAGTTTTATACCTGTGACAGTGAAATAGTTTTTTTTTTTTTTGGTGTGTGTGTATTATATATGGAGAAATATTTGTAAATAAATAGGCACTGAATGTTTAAGTGTGTGTTAATTTAATTAAACCGACTAGTTTGGTCTTAGAATTATAATTTCAATCACTTTGATATATGTTTATGAAGCATTGAATTTATTTTTCTTTTGATGTAATGGATTGTGTGCAGTACTTGGAAGTATATGCAATATGTTTAACCAAGAATGATATACATTTATTTCTTAGACTTCTGTACATCTTAGACTGTGTGTGTGGGGGGGGTTCTTTTTGTTTTTTGTTTTTTACTATAGTGATGTTTTACTATACACCTTTTTTTACTATAGTGAGCATTGATTTTGCTATTCTCTTCCTAAGCATTTTGTCTTGATAATATTCTTCATCTCTCTACTTACACTTACTTTTGTATAACCTTTACCAGCTCTACGAGTTATACTAGACTATATTATTGTTTTAATAATACGGATATGCATGCCAAATGAATTTGTCTATCCAATAGAAATACAATGAAACCCCCAAATGTCTGAAACTAACATCAATGCCAACAAGTACTAGATAACCTACTTACAAGTACAGATATGTCAGCATTCTGAAATGTAGTGTATGATTACTTATGCTCCAAGAGACAAGAGACATGTTAAATGAGAGCAATAAAATGTAATTGGTGTGTGTAATGAAATGTGTAATTGACTGGTGCACTAATGTATGCTAAGGAAGTACTGAAGTAGTGTTGGTTTTACATGAAGCACTAGGTTTTTCAAATATATTTAAGCAAATTATTAAAATTTATTTTGCTCTGTGGTTTTGTATTGTAAATATTGGTTTTATGTCAATTTGTTTTAAAGTATACATTGTCATGCATTGTACACTTATTATTATTGTTATTATTTAACTTAATTGACATATTATTCATAAGTTGCCTACCTTATGGGATAATCATCCAAATTACTTTAATTATTACTTTTGGAACAAGGCAATGTTTATTTTTCAAGGAATAAATACTCTATCAAATCTGTTGCTCTTCTAGTTTCTCTAATGGTAGTGTGTTCAGTGAGTGACTCATTTGATAATAACATTTATTAAATTGATAAATTGAGTATTTGATAATAACTTTGATTAAAACATAATGCCCTTTCAAGGTTGTGAGCTGAAAAGCTAAAGGGTCACTGTCATCCAATCGTGAGCGTTAATACCAAAAATCTAAGTTGAAATGAAGCTCACGATTTGAGAACTGTCCCCCTCTCCTGCCAGGTCATGACCTGAAAGGGACAAAGGACTTCCTGTTTTAATCAGAGTATATATATTGCATTGCGGCAAAAGTTCAATGTGCTGTTAAGTTCTAACGTTGTCAAGAATAATTACATGTTGATAATTCTATAGATTCCTCTACTTAAAGAAAAAAGAGAAAATATTTAAAACATGTTGAATTTTACTTTAAAAACACCACAGTAGAATATATACATGGGAATAATTAAAACACTAATTTTAATTTATAAACTAATAAAAATTAATTTGATAATTATAGTGGTTGTCAATACATATTTTTATACAATAGTGGTATTCTTAAATATTTAAAGATAATCAAACGTCTGTTGTTGTTGTTTTTTTTTATATATATTTATTTTCATTGGTTTAAATTTACTAAAAACACACTGTTTTGCGACACAATGTGGACACATTTTCAGGTAGTCTTGAGGCTTAGGAAGGAAAAACATTTATATTAATAAGTCACAAAAGGTGCTTTTAATAAATTTAAGTGAATAAAAATAATTATGTTTAAAAAAATGCTTGAGGTTTGATTGTCTTTAAGTATTTGGAAATAACTTCAGTTTGGAGAGTCTTAGTTTTCAGTATTAAAAAAAATGCTGGAAACAATGAAGAAAAGGCTGTTTTCATGGTTTAGAATCTCAAAAAAAAATCTCAAAATTTCCTTTAAGATAGGTAAACAAAGCAAAATCAGTTACTATTGTCACATTTTTAAATCTCTAAAGGGTCCTGATCCCATCTTCTTTTTAAGTACTTGGTTAACGAGCTCTACTGTGGGCACACTGATATGTAAAGAAACATAAGATATTTTCTGTTTTATCATTGTATTTTTTCATGTTTGTGCAATTTCGTGCACATAAGACAGATCAGAGATATTTTATTGAACAAAGTGTGATCTGGCCTATGTGTATATCATACATTTTCCCATGATATGAAATTCTTTGTTAATATAAATGAAGGGGCAAATGTAACCACTCTTAACTTGGCTATGTATCTTGTGAGATACATAGATTACATGATAAAATATTTATTATTACAATAAGGAAATTGTTTTGATTTGAAGGTCTGTGTCTTATTTACCTCTTTGAAGTATATAATGCTGTGCTGCTCACTATTGACTGCAGTTAAGTGCAAGAGAAGAAACAAAACCCATTTTGATACAAGATGGATGAAGAGCGTCTCCAGTACTTTGTCTCGTAAATACAATTACTTTTGCAGGATAGTGTTAGTTTTTTGTTTTTATTGTTATGCATCCATTTTATATGGTATGGTAAATCATAGTATCTATAGAGATACATTGCCAGATACCCAACAAAGTAATATTGAATATTGTTTTCAGTAATGAACATGCAGTATTCTAATAATCTATAAAGTACAGAGACTGCAAATGTTTATTTTATACCTAAAACAATTACATCTATTTATAATTCATGTATTTATATATTTGTAATTACAGGGTGAGTCACGTTACTTTAGCTCCTTGTGCAGTTTTTGAAAGTTGAAGTCATTGCAATGCAGTTTCCACAGAAGTGCATGAGGGAATTGGGCTAATTGATACATGTATTCATTTCTACTGTATCACTTGTATTTTATGAGATATTGAGGTAATTTTCGTTTTTTCTGAATGGAACAATACATATTTTTTTAGACTATCATGACATGAATAAAAAAGCAAATTCAATGATATACATATTGTCATGTTAGTTGAGGTTTTTTTTGTAAGTATTATTTGTTTTTTTGCAACATGTGTTAAAGTTATAGTTTGGATGTTACAGTCCACCACACATGGTCATACAGAACTCCCTCCACTAATGCACACTCAAATAATGAAAGCTGAGCACAAGAAAATCAAAATTACCAAATGCTTATCTAACATATGACAATATGTATCTCATTGGATACGTCTTCTTACGCTGATCATGATAGACAAAAATAATATGTATAGTTCCATTTGAAAAAAACAAGTTATCTTAATATCTCATAAAATACAAGTGATAAAATGGAAATGAGTACTTACATCAATTAGCCCCATTCCCTCATGCACTTCTTTAAAAATTACATTGCAATACTTGAACCGTTAATTCTGCAGGAGGTGCTAAAGTTACACGACTCATCCTGTCTATTAATGATATGATAATTGTATAAAATTTAATAATTTATAATTTATTAATTATTGAAATATGTATGTCATGTAATATTTTTAAGACAAATACAAAATGTTATAAAAGAACTATGTTCAGTGTAAAGGTAAATGACATTAAGTTACATTCTCATCTATTTTTGACAATATATCCTACAAGATGCTTGCTTAGTACTAAGGGAACTTGGCAACATATCCTGTGAGTTACATGAAAATTTGTGAACCTAGGACCCCAATATATGAAATAGAATACTAATTTCCCTTCGTATATACCTCGGAGGTAAATATACTTTCAAATAATTTTTGCCCCCAGTTATATTTTGCTTGCCAAGTTCAGAGTTAACTTAATTAAATTTGAATTTGTGTAATATCAATATTGTTTAACTTCAATATAGCATTATGAAACACCAGACTGAGCTCTCACCAACTTTGTGTGTGTGTACCCCTGGCTTATATCATGAATTAAATTTAGTGTTATCTTTGTTATTTTTATTTATTCACGGCAACAGTATATAGTTTTTCTACTATAGGGTGTACTTTCTTGTATTATTTGTAATAGTTCTGAAATATAATACTACTGGGACATACATTTGTGTAGTTTTCAAAAATGTAAACAATGACATCAAAATATCCCAGGTTCAATTCCTGGTCATGACAAAAATGAAGCCGTAGCTTTCTAATCAAAATGATGTTGGTTTCTATTGCTGCCTGGCTAAAGAAAAAGCTCAGGCAGGTCAAGTAAGCTAGTTATGGTGATGGGAATGCCATGCTTGCCATAAATCTCCCTTACCCCCAAGTGTGGATAATCAAAAAGCCGTGCCCAGGCCTGGAAACACTGCTAGCTAGTAAAAATCTGATTAATCCGACTCTAAAAACAATGCCAAATACATAGTGCATATATACATGCCCTATACACACACATAAAACAAATTTTTGGGGAGAAAAAAATTTTACATTATGTTATTCAGTGCATTTATCTTGTTTAAAAAGTTGATAAAAAAAATTGGAGCTTTTTTCTAGAAAATTGTGTTTTTAAAATTGCATTTATTTCACGCACAATTTAGTGAAAACTACTTATATTTTGAAAAAATGGTACATGACTTCATTTAAAGATCTAATTTTGAACAATAGATTTTATTAAAAAGAAAGAATTATTTTCAATATTGTAGTTGTAGGAAGACGGAAAAAATTAAACTTTTTGCAATTTTTGAAAATTTAAGAAACTTCAATGAATATTGGACCTGCTCTATTTATTTTAGTGTACTTTGCCCTATAAGACAAACAAATTAAAGGAAAAGTTTCGAGCCATTTTTTTTGAAAATTTTGCAAAGGTTGCTGCTTCCATGTAAAATAACTCCCTAGAGCAAAGCATTTCAAATGCAAGGGAAAGCAACATATTCCGATTGATTGGAGAACATTAGTTTTGGTGAAGCCCATAGTTTAGTCAATTGTGTTGTTCACGAATGGATAGTCAGAAGTTTTGCATTTACCAAATTTTCAGTATCAAGCATTCACAAATTGTGTAATAGGAAGTTATTTACGATATATGAACAAGAAATATCCATTTTTTAATTTTAGGAATCTACAATACCACTTTCTGAGTAAAAAAATCACTGTTTTTTGCTCAGTATTACATATATTATGTATTGTGTGAGAAAATAAAATGTTATGTAGAGGTCTTGACCCATTTTAGAAAATTAATGTAAAATAATGGTAACAATAATAAATGAAAATGAATAGGTGGAAATTGATTGAAAATTAAAACATTTTCCATGATCTTTGTGTATACACTTGTAAAATAGTAATTCATATGCCTACTCCAGTATTAAAAAACTACGTATTGAGAGTATTAAATATAATTTTCAAGTTTTTACTTTCTCATAAAGAGAAATTAATGTTGGTCAGAAATCAGCATTTTTTTTATGTAAAAAATTGTGTTGTGGAACCCTGGTAATAAGAAATGGATGATTTATGTTTCTATATGTAGGAAATTACTTCTTCTCACATTTTGTGGGCCACCACGAATTTGATAACAAAAGTTTGACAAAACGTCTGTCTGATCAGAACTAGCGCTTAAACCATTCTCACGACTTTCAGCAAAATTACCCATTGATCAAAATGAACTCAAGGCCCTGCCCTGATATATAGATTTTGGGTGCACTTTACATGAACATTTTCAAAATTTTCTCAAAAAAGACTCCATATTTTTTATCAAACTTTTATCGCAAATAGCATAAAGGACATTTAAAAATCGGTGAAAGTTTAATTTTAGGTGAAATTTTGAATTTTAGAAAACAGCAAAAGTACAAAATTATTTTAATGCCTATCTTCATCAACAATAGAGATTTTATCTGTAATGAATGATCTTGAAATATGGTCATGTACAATTTTTCAAAATTAACAATCATTTTCATATAATTTCTGCATAGAAATTAATTCAAAACCTGCTCCAACTTTTTTTCAAGAATAGAGCAAATAACTTTTTTTATTGCGTAAGTTTCATTTTCATTGAACTCTATGAATTTTAAAAATTTGCAAAAGTTAGAAATATAGTGATCAAGTATGCACAGTTTTACTACTAGTTTCCTTAGGTGGGAGTACTGAATGTGTTCAGGGAAATGTGCTTAGTATAGTCACGTGTCTTTCTGAAACATCCTAGAAAGCCAGTGAATATTATCTGAATGTACATATGTTTTACTTGGTGTTTTTGGTTTTGTACTCGCAAAACATGCAGGTTTACATTATATTACATTTACATGTGTTTATTGGTCTCTTTTCTTGGACTTTCTCTTCTTCATACCTACAAAAATAATTGCAATCATACTTCATTGAAGATATTGGATGAATCTACCAGATAATTAAATATTAATTTCAAGATCATGGGCTGAAGCATCTTATTTTGAGATAATTTAGTTTAATGAAACATTTCTGCAATGTCAATACCCTGACCAAAAATGGTGAATTTATTGTGGATATTAGTTTTCAAATTTGTTATATTATGAAATCTAATATCATGTGCCAGGAGAGCTATTTTACAAAGAAATATTATAAAGTTGTTCAAATTAATAGGTGACAATACTTTAAATTGAGGAAGGAGCAGAATTTTTTTCTTTTCTATTCACTCATTTTGTAATCTTCAGACGATGGGAAGTAAGAGTTGACGATATAATGTTCACTAATTTCAGTCTCCAATTTCTTTGAGATAACTCATCAGATGTATGTGCACAATTTTTCATAACTTGCAGGTACAATTTATTGTATCACATTGCAAGTCAGAATTCTTAATTGTTTTTAATTGCAAAATTAAAGAATTCGGATCACTAAGTAACAAATGATTGTCCTTTTTGCAGGTTATTGAATATGGTCGAAATGCAAAAAACACCAAAATTGAAGTATATCCACTGCCTTTACGCCTTATAAAGGATTTTGATATGGATAAATCATTTGTTCATAAATTTAGCAAGGCAAATACTATTGGTAAGTTATTTTCTGGTTATATGAAACATTTTTGTTCTGCGGAAAACACACTATGCGGTTTTGTTGAGTAAAATAATATCCAATTGATAATAATATCTTGATCTTTCATTTAAGATGTATTTGTAAATCATTGTCAGATTAGCTGTAATACATCAAGTGCAAAATTAATTTTACATAATTTTTTTTAAATTTATATTTAACATGAAGCACCACCACTATTCAAATTAAACAAATTTCTTACTCTATATGGACAGCTCAATTTAAAGTCAATATTAGCACATGATAATTGCACACTTGTGCAAATATGGCATTTTGCTCTCAGTTAGATAAGCATAGAATGACATGGTGATAAGTTTCCTCCTGTTTTTGATAACTAACTCCATGTAAGGCCCTACCTTATTTTCCAGTGTCTCCACTAATAGCAATCTAATTATTGATAAAGGTGTGTATTTAAAAATGATCATTTTAAAATGTTCATTTTAAATCCCTCAAATTTTGTGAATCACAACTTAATTTTCCAGGGCAAATAAGAATTGTAACCTGGACTGATTATTTGAATCCAAAGTAGAACAGATTTAGTTATATGCAGTGCACTGTTCACTTCTCTGCCAAAGCTGTGGCAATGCGTAGTGTCCAACTTGAATTTTTATTTTTATAGATTATTATTCATAAACAAATTAGTCATAGATATCTTTAATTAAGAACAATCAGATCACTAATATTTTTAAATAAAAAGATTAAAGAAGTGTTTAGATCATATATTTAGTTTATTTTAGACATTTCAAATTTGCACCTTTAAATCCATTTTCCGGTGAACTGTGATATAAGATACTATGATGTTAACCAGCAACCAGCAATCTAGGTAGCATGGGCTGTAGGTTCCCCCAATGATAACTTTACCTAATTTAAAAATGAATACACATTAATTGCACTGACACATCTCTAGCTTGCGCAGCCAGATGCTCAATGTAGAACCCTAAGGTCTGTAACTTTCGTTTTTAATTTTGAGGATTTTGCGTGTTTATCATGCATGTCATCATGCCTTTGCTGCCAGTCTCTATCAGGCTGCCCCTTTTGCCGTATTAGTGTACCCGCAGGCTCACCACCATCATATGTGTGAATGACATTCTACGTCAGATAGAACAAAGTCTCTGCCACTGCCACAAGTAGTGCACAAAATTCACAGTCAGAAATTAACTTGCCACATATTCGGCGTCAGCAGTCATGGTAGTTATTGTAACTGCAGAACTGCTGAACAGGAGCTAGTCTGCTACTCAACATGAAGGTTGGTTGCATATGCGTTCATGCACAAAGTCTATTTCTGAGATCAAAATCTTTCTAATATTAAAATTTATCTCAAGTAAATCTGGCTGAACTCTGAATCTCCTATCCCCCTAGGACGAAATCTCTTCTCTCACTGCTCATACGTCTTCTCTAATGAGGCCTCAGATCCCCTACTCCAAGCACCTCTGCGTTGCTCTGCTCATTTCCCTTTTGGCCAATGAATGTTAATATTATGTTTCTAACTAGTATTTCCTTTTTCTAATGGCCAACTGAATTCGGGCCACCACCCTTCATAATTCTCTCCTCCTGGGCAAGTGCGTGCATCTGCAACCAATTAAACCCCAGGGTGCGTTCATGTTCCCAAACTGTCGCTTGTCCTTAGGTTTATGAAATTACTACTTGAGATCCGTTTATCAGGTTGAAATGTCTCTCCACCTTTTTACCGATTTACTCGATTAGTCCTAAGTGTGTCATGTTTACAAAAGGGCGTGCCTCCTACCCTGTATTATATTAACTTTAATGGAAGAATACTCTTTAGTGAGTTTAGGAGATTTGACAGTAGCTTGGCAGTAGCACATGCTTATGTTTCGATGTGTTCATTGTTGTCAAAACCTGCGCTTAACTAGGGAGACATATTTCCTTCCGGACCTATTGCCTCGTCTTGTCCGCTGTGCGGCTTGTGACATCCTCACTTTCTCACGCTGCCGTACTCAAATTCGGCACGGCTGGGGTTGGCAATGGCTATTGTATGCTCGTGCTCTCCTTCTCTTTCATGTTTCTGCTTCGAGAAATATGGAATTCTTTACTTTATTACTTAATCATGTTGATCAAGATGTGCGTTTCATCACAGTACATGTTAAAATCATTAGTTCTCAATATAAGCATTATTGTAAATATTCAGAATCTCATTGTCTCATGCCTCTGTGCTAGTTTTTACCATTTATTAAGAAATTTTCATGTACTGTATTGTGACTGAAAATGTACAGTTTATATGTCATATTTCTCAAGTGTCATCACTAATTTAGTGTGTTTCATCCCAAAACTTTACTGTTGTAAATTAACAGATGAAGATGTGGATACATTAAACCATGAAACATTGTGCTACATTTTTTATTTTAAAAATACATTTTTTATATATTGAGAATTTATACTATAGAAATCACAGTTGTAAAATATTGAGTAGTGCATAATTATAATAAGATAGGCTCTCCTTGTAAATACTTTATAAAGTCATGATTCATTAATTATTTTCTTGTTGAAATTTTGTTCAGTGTGTTGGCACTGCCAAAACGCGTTTTAAAAATCTGTATTGGGTTTTATTACCAAGTGGTGTTTCAAAGTATTTGACATATCAATATTCAGTTAATTTTAGAGTCTCAAATATTGTCCGTACGGCACAATGACTGTTTGGCAACTGAATAATGACAAGAAGGAGAATGGTGGATGGGTTGTTTTAAGTTAATCAGGTAGACCGAAGCCGCCTCATAAAATTTCGACACGTATAGTGAAGCATCAATTCGCCTACAAAGCTCATATTATATATACAATGTTATTCCCTCACTGGTACAAGTTGGTGTTTACCATTCTCATTCAAGTTGGCTGATTTCTCCTTGTTTGTTACAAGGGAGACTGTATTAATAGGGAGAATATCTGAATCCCATATTTCAAGTTTTTTGCACCAAAGATGTTCCTTTGTATATACAAGCTGGAGTTGTCAGTGAACAAATGAATAATAACTAGATCTCATCTAGAATTCCCTAGTTTTCAAATTGGTTTTCCAAATTTTCTTTCTAGAGTTCTTTGTGTCTTAGCAATGACATCTTACAGTAGTTTTTAAAACTTTTTATTTGGAGTATTTTTTAACAAGGTGTGTATTTTTTTTCTTTCTGCAGGGCATGTTGCAAAAGTAATAAAAGAATTGTTTGGTATTTCTGACGAAGTAGTAATAAAATTGTGGGGTTTATTTTCTCCAAATTCCTGTGATGAATTAAATTTTAGTAAAACAATTGAAGAAGAAAGTCTCTTTCCTGATCAAGTTGTCGTTGCAGAAGCTTGTCGGCCAGATGGAACGTGCATAAAGCCGTCTAAAAAGTAAGCTAAAATGATATTGATTGTATCTGTTTTTGTCTAACTTGTAGTAATCTCTTCCAATTTAGATTTATTTTCATTGCCTTATTACCTGTAACTGAATTTTTTGTAAACCTAAATCGTGGGATCAGAATATGAATCCAGGGTGAGGGGGGGGGATTTAAAATTATGATCATGGAAAAATAATGGTGATTTATTGGCAATATTCCTAATTAATTTTGGAACAAGTGAAATTTCTGTGGTGAAAGTTTGTCTTTCAAGATAAATTATTTGTGAAGAACAAACTATCCTTGTCAATTTTATTTAAAAGAATATAATCAAGTTTACAAATGTACTTATCTGTTACTTTTAACCTTGTTTTTAGTGCCATGAATACAAATTCCATGCGAAATTCGTTGGAAAAAAGTGGATCTTTGAACATGTCCACAAAAAATAATCCTGGACCAAGTGTTTCACGGTAAAACTGATTTTTACTGTACTGTTTTGTCACTTTTTGCATTAGTATTATCAATAAATTGCTTAGTAGTTACAGTGTAAAATTTGCATGCGCTCATTTCCATCTGTACTCCAATTTTACCTTGGCCATGCAGGAGTAATCTGTCTGTGCTTGATCTTCATTTCCTACCTCATGCCTCATTCCAGTTATTTTCTCTACTCTTTTCTTTTCGTGCAACTTCTTTGTTTTTTTTTCTCTTGTGTCTCAATTGACTTGTAATTTCCTTTTGTACACATCTATCTTCTTAGCTTCACGTGTAGCATGAGGTGTGTGTATTGCAGTTAGAGCTCTATTCTGTGCATGTTTAATGTTGGTTACTGACTCCAGTCCTATACCTATGCCAGACTCTTCGTATGTCAGGTCATGGGTGACATCTAATTTTTGACCTTCCAGCCAGGAACGTATATTCAGGACTGTGTAGGTAATCAGAGATGGCCCAGATCTTTTGGATAGATTTCCTAAGGGAAGGGTGTATATCATAGCGACATAAATATAAATTAATTCTACCATTTTTATTTTCAAGCTACAGTGATATTCGTACTTGAAATCTTTAACACGCGGGACCATCTCAAGGTGGGAGTGCTTCCTCAATAGCCATTGCAGTAGGGTTCAGGGAGGGAGAAGGAACTTCAGATCATAATTTGACAGCCTCTCTGCATAGAAAATAGTGTTTCAGGGTCATATCTTGAGCGAGAGATGGTCTGCTTGATGAAACTATTCCAAAGAGCACTTGCTTTATTCAAATATATATGTAATAGGCATGCATATTACATATATGCTTGCATATATATGCAAGTTGTAAATTGACAACTGTATTATCAGTTTTCATAAATTTATTTTCACAAAATATGTAGAAATTTTCTTGTGTAATAACTGTGGAATTTGAATATGTTATTGAGGAACTAAAAATAACACAATTTCTGGGAAGAAAATTTGTAAAGTAGCATTATTAATAAAGGAAAATTGCAATAGGAACTTCAGCTCTTATCAGTGTAAGATTAAAACCATGACTACAAATGACACTTCAGTGTTATTAAACACATTTCCTCTGTTGATCTGTTGTTGTAAAAGAAGAGTCTTGTGGGCACTGTTAGTTCTCGTACAGAAAGAACAGTGCTCTACAAATGGCTTCTAGTCTAAACTTTTCTATGCATGATATGGTTCTTCCTGTGGTTTCTACAAATTTAGGTAAATTATTGTTGCCAGAAAACATTTTATTTTATTATTCAATATCATTATTATCCAACCCATTTTTTACCACTGTGTTCTATTTATGTGGCTGTGCACTTACATTTTTTGCTCCTGATTTTGTTCATTTTTCATTAATTGTCACTGTGTACTGTTTTTAACAATTTTATCTGTTGAGTAAATTATAATTGATTGAATATTTTTAGTATACTTAGTAAATACATATTTCTAAATATTCTGTTTTTTCTTACCCAGGGTTCATAAAACTCAATAAAATGAAAAACCAACACATTATATCGTTCAAATGATGAATCAAGTATTGTAGTTTTTGAATATGCTCATACATTTATTTCCCATTTATTAGTTTATTTTATGTAAGAGAAATTTGCAAGAAAAATTAGGTATACTATAAATATGACAATGGTAAAAAGCCCTATCAAAGGTGGCAACATACATGGAAGCATTGCTAACAAATTTCTTGCCCGTTATTTTGATTGCGAACTATTGTCTGCACAAGATATTTTGACACCAGAGATAAGTCTCTATTCCTATAAGCAAGTTTTAAGTTAATTCGTAGAAAGCCAGTGCAATGAACATTAATGTTCTTAGAGACAAGTGAGAGAACAACCATATGCACATGATATTGACACCACCATCACAGTGAAAACCACTAAAACCATTACTATTCGTTTGTACCCATTTATTCTGCAATACCATTTGTTTATACCAAAACCACTTACAAGTTAGAGCACTTTTAATTATGGTGGTGCCAATTCCACACTGGCACTGCAAACATTGTAAGAAAATTTGGAACAATTGTAAATCGTTTGTACCAAACTGTTGCACCAAAATTATCGTTTGTACCAAAGAAATTAATTAAGATACAATCATTATAATGTGGCGATGCCAACTTCACGCTGGCACAGCCACAACCATAAAAAAAATTGGAACCATCCTAAATAGTTTGTACCAGATAGTGACCAGAGTTTTCGTGTGTACCAAAAAAAAAAAAAAATTAATATCGTACATCATTTCAAGAAAATTAATAAATGAACATTTGAAAGTAATTTTTATGGAAAAACTAATTTATTAAAATATGAAAACTTAATTGTGTTTTCATTAAGCTTCATTATATTTTTTTCCCTCTGGCCTATATATAGGACAGTAAAAATTTCTATTATGTTAAAGTAAATGCGTTCAAAAGTTTATGAATTTTATCAAAAAAGCCTATTTTTATGGCATTGCAATGAAAAATAACCACTTTACCATATTGGAAAAAATTTGGTAAAAAATGGGTTAATTTCTCAACAATGTAGGACATTATATACATCGCATTTCAGACTGAAGACTTCAACACTAGGGAGAGGATTTTTGTGCCATAAAAATTCTTGAACTATTCTTTTAAAAATGTGCATTTATGACCGAAAAATTCTGAAATGTGTGCTTAAGCATGCAGTAAAAACTAACAAAATTTAATTTCCTGTATAAACCTTTTCAGATAAAATTCAGGAGGAGAATGCTTTGAATGAAAATATATATTTTTGTACAAACCTTATATAACCTAGCTTACTTTACGGAGAAATAATTAAAGTATATATGCACCTTAATGAAGAACATTGTATGTCTAGTTTCATTTTTTTCTGTCCAATAAAAAAAATATGGTATCAAGAACTATCTTACTTTTGCACAAGTATTTATCAAAGAAAAAATACAACTCAAACTTTGACAAGCTCTTTCTAATCAAAGAACTTTCACAAATAAATAGATTCTATGAGAACCTGAATTGTTTTACAGATAAGTCTCTTATTTTAGCAAAATATGCTCATACAATTTCAGAAATAATTACCAACACAAAATATTGGCCAAATATGCACAAATGCGCACAAATGTTTATTAATCTACATAGAATCCAATTCTAACCAAATGTCAACAAATGTGAACGTCACTTAGCTATTTCCTGAAGCAACATAAAAAAATATTCAAAATCATAGAAATTCGCTTCCTACTTATTACAAACTATTGAAACATAGTTTTGTTTTATCAGAACACATGTTAAATTTACATATATCACATTAGATAAACTATTTACTACTGTTTTTTATAATTATACATTCTCCTCCTGGACAGCGTTGGAAGTGTAACAAAGGAACTGGAGATAAATGGGGAGATCTTAATTAGATTCCATGCTAAGGCAGTCAATTCTTTGGACAGACATATATAACAATTATTATTATTGATAATTTATATTTATTAATAAAATGAACCGCAAAAAATTGCAATTCTGCAAAACCATTGGTTTTATTAGATAACCATTTTTAGGTTTCATATAATTATTTATTATTAATAAAGTTGGGATTTCTAAGCACACACACTTCTTTATTTTTAATTAGAGATTATAGATTCAAAAATATGAATGAAAACTAGTTCAATACACCTGAAACTCCTGAACATCTGAAATTATATGAGGGGGAGAGGTGGGGAATGCACCTCGAGATACCTCATTGCCTTAACTCATCCAATGCCTCAGCGCCCAGCATTCAACGCAAACATCTATTTTAAAATGTTCATTTCTTGATTGGATTCTAAGAGAAATACTTGTGCAATAATGACAATCAATCTATGCTGGAAATCGTAGATTAGACTGTTATGGTGCAACTAAAATATTGGTTAGTAGTTTTTTTATAAAGCAAAGTTCATAACAAACTTAGTACATGTTATATATGTTACACTGTCTGTAGGACATTTTGAAGAAAGTAATTTAGTAGTTTCATGGAAAACATTGGTTGCACTAGTTGACAATAATGTAAATGAAAACCATGTTTGTACTTTACAAATTATGCAATTAATATGTTCCAGAGTTACTCGTTTTCATACATCATATTCAGGTAATAATGATGTTCGATGCGGAAGTGTCACACCTGGCTTATGCGGACTTTGTAATATGGGGAATACATGTTTTATGAATAGTGTAATTCAAGTAAGTAGCTTATGTTTTATGTCAATTTTGTAAGATTTACATAAGATTTTGTTCAGAGAATTGTGTATTATCTAATGCAGGATTTAGTACTCACTAAATTCTCATTAGAAATCTATAAGAAATATTGGTATAATCTTCACGTAAGTCTCTAGCAAAAGAGAATTAATCATTCATGAGCATGATGTATAATTAATAAGATATTATTAGAGGATTGTGTGAATGTTTCTCATAGCTTTAAAATTAAGAAATTCAAGGAGGGGAATATCCAGAAGAGTAATTAACTGTTCTGCAACTCTTTTTGTTCTAGTGTTTGAGTAATTGCCCTCCACTTGTTAAACATTTTGCAGAGGATGAATATTTGAAGGATTTAAACACTGAAAACCCAATTGGTATGAAAGGCAAAATTGCAACTGCATTTGGTGAATTAATAAAGATTATGTGGTCAGGAAAATATCCTTTTGCAGTGCCTAATAATTTCAAGGTAATGTATTTGTGAAACACTCTTACTTTGAACAGTATGAAATTTCTTAATAGCAGAATGAACTTCATGGTTTGAGGGATGTCCCTTTGTACCTAACTATTCAGTATGTTGTGTAAAATGCCTTTAAAATTTAGGTCTTTCATTCAGCTGGCAAATATGCTCAAATACTAAAGAAATACATAAATTAATAAATTATTGAATATGTAACAAATTAACACAATAATGATAACCTATAACAACATAAAATTTACATAATCATATTTCTGTCTAATGTTTTACAGAAACAATTCATTTCACTTCCCCTCCCCCTTCACTTCCCCCTCCTTCCCCCTCCTTCCTTTCCCCTTCCCTTCCC